AAGTTTTCAAAAAATTGCTTCATAAAACACGCAACTTGTAAAATATAAACTTTTAAATACATATATTCTTTTGTGTTTAAAAAAAAAAAAAAAAAAGACAAGACAGGAACAAACTAAAGAAGATGAGACTGAAGAGAGGATTCCTTGAAAGGAGGGAAGGAGTTGATACTGCGCCCCCATTGCTGTGGTCTTCAGGAATCTTAGAAATGGAGTCATTAAAGCATTACTGCCAAACACAGTGAGGAACAGAGAAAATCAGAACAGTTGTTACACAAACACCTGCTGGTTGCTGGACTAATGGCAACTGGTATGGTTTACTTTACCGTCATTTTCCCAGGAAAGGTCTTCCAAAAGCCCAGGGTGTATTCTGCTTCCTTCCTTTTCCTGCCGAGATGGAGAGCAAGAGACTCATAACAAGAACTGGAATCCTGTAGTTTCTGGTACTCTGGAGAAGTCTAGAGGCCAGTAATAAAGAAAAAGTGAAAAATAAGATGATGAAACAATTGTCTAGAATCTGTAGCTTCAATGTGATTTAGGTGTATAGTATTAAGCTTACGGAGAAAGTTCTGCTTAAGAACAGATGTGGTACATGAAAGCGAGCTGGGCCAAAGAGAAGAGTGGTTCCAGGAAAGTTCTACCCTGAAAAGACACTTATGAATAGGGGAGTAACTCAAGGTAGAAAGGAACAAACAATGACAGTTGTCAGGGAAGGGAACAGCCTAAAGCTCAGGAACAAAACAGGAGTTCTCAATTGGCTTTTAGGACCCGGTAATTTTGCTTATGTAAATTATATGTATTAATATTTACCATATTAGAAAATAAAATTGAGAATTCTTTTCAACAAAACTTAAGTGTTAATTTTTTAAACGGCAGCTGCAATATAGAATCTGAAAGCATATCAATGAACATTTCTTACTGCTCAGTAAAATCCACTGGTCATCGTGCACTCTGAATAGATCTTTTTTGACCCATGCGTGTTTCTGTATCATGGACTAGTCATTTGGAAAATGCTGCTTCATTGAGTTATGTGGATTTTATAGCTGCTGATATATTAGAACCAATCTCATCAGAAAAACTTTCTAAGTATGTATTGGGAAGCTGTCAAGTTCACAATGGTAGATACATGTTTTCTAAAATTCTAATACTTATTTGAAAGCTCAGATTTTATCACTGGCAACAAATACTGTCAGTTGTTTTTCTGGAAGTGACAGACTCATTTACTAATTTTTGTCTGCCAAATGCCCACAGCTGAGTCTCCATGCTTAACCTTTTGGTGGTGGTGCTCTCAAATTCAAATTAAAACCAAAACCAAAAAGCTGCTAGTTCAGTTCTCAAATCAGACAACTACACCAGTGTTTTTCCTTCAGACAACCATAATTCCTTTATGTGTGCATCCCATTTCATCAAAAGGAATATTTAAAAATACGTACTTGATAGTTGGGAGTAAATAAAATCACTAGTTTTTGCTGCTTCATTAAGAACATTCTTAATAACTGGCATAACATAATCCACAAAGACAATGTTCTATATCCTACATTGGTAATAGTGACTGGGGTCTTAAAATCTCATGAGAGGCCATCAAAGGTGCAACTTCTGTTCTCTCCCTGTCCAGAGGAAATCTGAGTGATGAAAACTGAAGACACATAGAAACAATTAGTCCAGTGGACTAATGGATCATGGGAATATCAGTCTCCATGAATCTGAGACCAGAAGAACTAGACGGTACCCAACTACCACTACCAACTGCTCTGAAAAGGATATTAGAAGGTCCTAGATTCTTATCAGTGGCGAAAAGATTGAAGTTGTCAAGGACTTCATTCTTCTTGGATCAATTATCAACACTCAGGGAAGCAGCAGTCAAGAAATCAAACGACGTTGCATTAGGCAAATCTGTTGCACAAGACCTTTTTAAAGTGTTGAAAAGCAAAGATGTCAGCTTGAGGACTAAGGTGTGCCTGACCCAAGCCATGGTATTTTCAATAACCTCATATGCATGCAAAAGCTGGACAGTGAATAAGGAAGCCCATAGAAGAATTAATGCTTCTGAGTTATGGTGTTGAAGGAGAATACTGAAAGTGCCATGGGCTGCCAAAAGAACCAAAAGGTCTGTGTTGGAAGAAGTGTAGCCAGTGTTTCTTGGAGGTCAGGATGGCAAATTTTGTCTCTCATACTTGGGATATATTGTCAGGAGGGACCAGTCACTGGAGAAGGATATCATGTTCGGTAGGGTGGAGGGTCAGAGAAAAAGAGGAAGACCCCCAGAGAAATGAACTGGCAAAGTGGCAGCATCACTGGCTCAAGCGTGCTAACAACTGTGAGATTGGCTGAGGACCAGGCAGTGTTTCGTTCTGTTATACATAGGGTTGCTATGAGTTGGTACCAACTCGATGGCATCTAACAACAAGATAGAGTGAAAGAAAATGTGGAACAAAACTCAAAATCATAAAAAGGTCAGCCTTACTTATTGGGTAGAGATTAGTAGAACCTTTGGTCACCCTTTAGGTCTTGATCTGAACTCACCCCTATGGCTCAATTTTCAGCAAAGCAATAGACAGATAGATAGATTAGATAGATTAGATAGATAGATAGGTAGGTAGGTAGGTAGGTAGGTAGGTAGGTAGGTAGGTAGATAGATAGATAGATAGATAGATAGATAGATAGATAGATAGGTAGGTAGGTAGGTAGGTAGATAGATAGATAGATAGATAGATAGATAGATAGATAGATAGATAGATAGATAGATAGATAGAGGAACAATAACACTAGTGAGGTATGCACACCATAGAATGGTCAACCACTTGAAATCAAAAGAGCACCATTTACCCAAGAATAAAACAGTGAGAAAGGCAAATCGTGTCTTAGTATTGTCATGAACAATTGAGTCCTTGGGAAGCCCATGGGTTCCCTAGGGCAGACCATGCTTTGAGAACCTGCTGCTGGGACAGGGTATAACTGTGCTGCCACACAGACAGTGAGCACAGGGGATGTTGAAAAGGTAACCTTCCACATTCTCCAGTAATTACACGTCACAATTTTAAGAGTAATTCCTTTGCAACCATTCCATTCATTTAAGAAATATTTCATGAGAATCTATTACATATAGAATATTTTTCTGAATGTGAGGAATTAAAAAAAAGAATAAGGAAGGTATGATCTTTGCCTCCTGGGAGCTTAATAACTAAACAGAAAAGGCAGAAAAGTAAGCAGTACACCAGAATGTAGTGGTTTTGTCAACAGGATATAGGTCAGAAAGGTCAGTACAGTGACTGAACCTTGTCCTAAAAAATATCTCTTTGACTGTGGTTATAATCCCAATTGGGAATGGGTAGTCTTTGTTATGGTAATTAGACAAGATTAGTGTAAAGTGTGTCTTGAGTCAATCTCTCATAAAACATAAAAGGGGCAGATTAAGGAAACAGAAAAGAAGTAGACAGAAGTCACATGGAACCAAGGACCAAGGACCAAGGACCTTCTCCCAGAGCTGACAGAGAAGAGAGAAAGCCTTCTCTTAGAGCCAGCACTCTGAATTTAGACTTCTGCCCTCCTGAACTATAAAAAAACAAACTTCTCTGTGATCAAGCCATCACATGCGGTATTTCTGTACTGCGGCACTTGATAACTAAAATAGGCCTTCACTGTGAAAGTGACTTTTGACGTAGGCCTGAAGGTTGAGGATGGAGGGATGAGTTTTCAGGGAGGAAATAAGGTCTTTCAGTTAAAATTGAATCCAAACTAAGAAAAAGGCCTACAAATCACACTCGAGTCAAGTACAGAAAACCCACATCAGTTCTGGAGCTACTCTGGATACTGAATCTGCCAAGGTCAGGAGACAGAGCCCTTGATTAAAAACATCCTAAATCTATGAGAGACCCTAGAGTCATTATGACATCTCTAGGAGACTTCAGAGTGGAAAAGAGATGAAATGAGACATTTTGGCATAATTTCAAAGGAGAATGTCTCAGCTTTAACATGGACCAATATCGTAGAGTGATGCTACGTATTTAGGAATCCACCTAACAAATTTTATGCAGAAACTAGACTAGTTAACAGCTGAGAAGACCTTCTAACTCTTTGATTCCTCTTATCATATACTGTTGTTTGGTTGGTTGGTAGGTGCTGTTGAGTCAGCTTCAACTCATAGTGACCCAGCATACACCAGAACGAAACACTGCCCAGTCCTACACCATCCTCAGAATTGTAATGCTTGAACCCACTGTTCAATCCATCTTGTTGGGGGATCTTCCGCTTTTTCACCAACCCTCTACTTTACCAAGCATGATGTTATTCTCCAGGGATGGGTCCCTACTGATAACATGTCCCAAGTACCCTATACTAAAGTGACCAAAACACCTGGCATAAGGTTGTCATGAATTCAGGCCAGGGGGTAATGCCACTATCTTACGAGTATGTACTGGTGTTCAGAAAGAAAAAGCTTTAACGAGTTCTGTGTAACATGCACTCAGAATGCATTTAATAAACTGTGGCCATAGTGAGATGTGGAGTCCTGGTGTGGTGCTGTGGGTTAATGTGCTAGGCTGCAAAGACATTTGCTCTGCAAGGTTGGTGGTTCAAGCTCACCAGTGGCTCCTCGGAAACCCTAGAGAGGGTCACTATGGTCGGAACCAACTCGATGGCACTTCACAACAACAACCACAGTGAGATGAGCAGCACTCATCATTAAGTCTCAACCTTTGACAAGGCTGATAAGGTCCTGAAGGGAAATGGAATCCGTAACACAGAAAACGAGAGTTATCTACGGTCACACTTTCCTCTTTCATTTCCATAAAGAAAAAGACATTTAATTAGGCACATATAAACTAATATTAAATTAGGGACATTCCAAATTTCATGGTGGCACAATTTAAACCAACAAACTACTATGATCCTTGGTTTCCTGAGTACCCAAAGGGGTTATAGATGACAGCTTACCACTTCAAAACAGGTAGCAAGCTTTAGCAACACTTTTGCATAATTATGAAGCCGTCTGATTGGCAAGAAGAACAAAGTATTCAATATTTCCATCAACTGGGTGTTTTCATTATTCACTTCTGACAGACCTTGTAACAGCTCCTGGTTTTTATTTAGGAAATCACTGGAGGTAGAGGAAGAAAGAGATTCAATTAAACATTTTGGTACTGACAATATTTAAGACATTTGTATAGAAAGCATTTCACTAGGTAGTATTTTTTTCCAGAATGCATATTTTCAGGTATTAAGAAAGTATGAGAATATAAACAATAAACTAAACACACTGGTAGCATAGTGGTTACGAATCGGGCTGTGAACCGCAAGGTCAGCAGTTCGAAACTACCAGCTGTTTCACGGGAGAAAGATGAGGCTTTCTGTTCCCGTAAAGATTTACAGCCTTGGAAACCCTGTTCAGGGTCGCTATAGGTCGGAACCGACTTGTTGGCACTTAACAACAACAACAAACACAATTTAAAGAATATCTCTGGCTATAAAATGGAATTTTTATTATAAAAAGTAGCAACTGGTAACAATAGCAATACTACCTCTAACAGAAATGGTTAATCGGGGACTTGTGCCTTAGTTCTTAGGAAATGAATCATGCATCCCACAGTTCCAGGGACTGATCAGAGGAGACCAGCTGACACAATTACCTGTTAATTTCACAGCCAAAAATCACAACAATAAATGGCTAAACTAATTGGTCTAGTCAGTTATACTGAGAGAAACAAAGCTCCTCCCAATGGTGAAGGATATTAAAATACTTGTAATTTCCTCTTTTTCCCTTCAGTTGTTGATCACCTGATAAGAGCTTACTGCAGGAATGTAATAAAAAGCTGTAGGAGACAGTAAAGCAAATTGCATGCGAAGGTTTCAATGCTGAGTTCCTCAAAAACATTTTAAACTGAAGCTATTTATTTATATTTAGTTTGTCCTGATGTTTCTACCTTCCTCTTGCTGTTCTGCTGCCAAAATCAGCTGATGATACTCACGTAACCCTACAGAGATGGCCTTCTGTGACCAGCTTCTCCACAGAAACTCTATACAGGGCCACTATGAAGCCAAGCTGACTTAACATCACTTAACAACAATAATTAGGATATAAGATCAAAAACAAACATGGCAAAACATTGATGTCTGCAAAATTTGGGTTGTTGCTCTTATTGTGGGCTGTCAAGTTGATTGTGATTTATAGCGACCCGATAGGTCAGCTGAAGTGCTCCAGAGTTTCCTAGGCTATCATTCTTTACAGGAGCAGATTGTCAACTCTTTTCTCCTATGGAGCTGCTGGTGGGCTTAAATCACCAATCTTTTGGTTAACAGCCAAGATCTTAACCATTGCATCCCCAGTAGGTATTCCATTAATAAAATATAACAATTTCTTCAACTATGACTTGCTACGAAACCATACTATTAAGAATGACTGAACTCATTTATTCATTGTTCTAATGCTAAATACAAATATGTACTATTAGCGTATTACTCTGCCACTTTCCTGTGTATTCATCTAGTAAAGGGGCCAAGTCAGAGTTCTCCCAAGGGACCCACAAAACATGATAAAAACATGCTCTTTATTTGTGAAAAGTATAATTAGAGGGTATGTATATGCTTACATGGCAGGCTTAGCAAGAAGCTGAAATCCTCCCATAACCACGAAATTTGTAATAGATGTGCAATACCTTGAGCAAAAAGAAAACACATGTATGTTAGTGTTAAAATACAAATTAGTTCTTTAGAGTTTCTGACCCAGTACCTGGAACAGATAGTTGCTGGTATTTCAGCAATGAGGAATTTCAGAACTTTGTGATGTCAACAATCATGAACTGCAGAGCACTGGAGACAGAGACACATCATGTGATAACCACAATAATCAAGGGGAAATCTAAGAAAGCTATGACAGAACGTAAAAGACCTAAACTGACTCTGGTGTTTATTTTGTAGATTTTACTTGGTAATTTCATTAACAATGACTGAAGTCACTGAATTTTTTTAATGTAAAATTTCTCTGATCTTCACTTTCGGTTTCCCAATTAAGTCTTCAAAAATGAATAGTAGAGATGGTAAGGAAATGTGTTACAAATAACTTGTGTGAGCCCACATTAGGAACTTTGCTGAAGCACTGATACACTGCTAGAGAGTAAGTACTGACACACTGCTGAGCCATGTGCACTTCCTCCTCACTCCTGCAATGGCAAATGGGATTAGCTGACTTTGAGAGAGAAAGTAGGTTTTACAGGCAGAAGGGAGCAAAAAAGAGCATTTCAAGTATATAGCCTTAAGTATCAGAGAAGAGTGACACGTACATGAAATAAACACAAGTCTACAAAGGAAAATCATACCAGTAACGGTGGAAACTAACATGCATCAAAAATTAAAAATAGATTTAAAAAGAAATTAGTATCAACTAATCTTACTTTTTCATGTCTGAAAAATGATTGATTTAAAGACTCAAGCCCGATTATTTCTTTTCAGTCAGTGTTTTTAAGCAGTTTCAATTTTGCTTAGAATTAAAATCATATACATATGTGAGGAAGGAGCTCTGGTAACGTGGTGGATAAGTAGCTGAGCTGCTAAACACAAGGTCAGCAGTATGAATCTACCAGTTACTCCATGGGAGAAAGATGAGGCTTTCTGCTCCTATAAAGATTTACAGCCTCAGAAGCCCTATACAGGGTCTCTATGAGTCAGAACGACTCCAAGGCACAGAACCACAACCACCACCACATATGTGAGGAGACTTCAAAAAGCTCATGGAAAACACTCCATTATCTCTTAATGCAACTTTCTGAAAACCCCTCACATATATATTAATAAGTCTGAAACAAAATACAATAAGATGACTAATAATGGTTACTTATGGTGGTAGGATTATGGGGGATTTATATTACCTTTATTTTTGTAGATTTAAAAATAAACACTGCTGTTGCTGTTGGTTGCTGCCAAGACCAATTTGACTCATGGTGGCCATGTGTCAGAGCAGAACAGTGCTTAATAGGGCTTTAATTGGAAACAGATCACCAGGCCAGATCACAAGGCACCCCTGGGTGGTTTCTAATCTACCAGCTAGAAGTCAAATGCTTAACAGTTTGTGGCACCCAGGGAGCCAAACACTTATTATTTCTATAAACAAAATACCAACAGAATATGAAATCATTCAGGGCAGGCAATTTTCAATGGCTCCATACTGTGGTCCCTAGCCCTTAGTGGACAGGTCTGAGTCAATAATTGTTTGATGGATAAGGGGCAAGTGAGTAAAGAATAAAATTCATACTTCAGATCAAAGCATATCCTAGTAAAAATTTATGTTTAAATTATGACTGGCATCAAAATGTCAAAATATGAATTAAGAAAAAGTGAAGAATATTTCAAAGTTTTCAAATACATTTGGGATTTTTTTTTTTTTTTTAACCTAAAAAACAGGGGAAACCTTGGGTAGGCTTTATTAAGAGAATATTTTTAGTTTTAAAGTAGTCTAGTCTTTAAATCTTTCATTTGTACAAAGGTTAATAACAGGTATCAGAACAGCTCCATATTTTAATCAGCAACAGGTCTTAAAATAATTTCCTTACAGTTCTTATTTCCTCAAATTTGAGTACAAATTACTTGTGAGCCGTCGAGTCAGTTCCAACTTATATATATTGCATAGGGTTTTCAAGGAGCGGCTGGTGGGTTTGAACTGCTGACCCTGAGGTAAGCAGTCCAGTGCTTATCCTACAGTGCACACCAGGACTCCACAATTTACTTAAGTAAACAAAACTGTTCTCTTAACAGATTTAGTGTAGTACATTTTATGTGACTCAAGCATGCTAACATCAAGTCATTCTGCTAGGATATAGAAGAAAATACAAAAATTCATTATTTTTAAACCTTTTCTTCTTTTTCCCTTACAGAAAACTATGCAAAACAATAGCTGATTTAAGATTAAAATCCTGCTTTGCAATTTCTATTACCTTCTATCAATCTCCCTAATCTAGTCTCTTCTGATTAAGGAGCTGTTCTTGGCAGAATAACCCTGCAGAGATTGAACATGACACGGGACTGGATACTTGCTCTGTGTAACTATCCAAGAAGAGACCTGCATGCTTCACAATGACCAAACTCCTGGCTTCCTTTATCCCATGAAGGAAGCTGCTCAGGGAAGTTCCATGCTGACCAATTAGGTAGCACAGCTTGCTGAATCGGCTTGCCACCTCCTGCAACAGCTGGACTGTAGCTGCAGTACCCAAATTTTCTGTAACAAAATAATGGTGGTGATGAGGATGATGACAAACACTGAAGACCTACTCATTATCTGAATACAAGATGATAAATTCCCCTATCCTAAACAGACTTTTTGTACTGAGATGTGGTTTCAGTTGCTGTTGTGCGCTATTGAGTGGATTCTGACTCACAGCAACTCTGTATGACAAAGCACAACTGTCCCAAAGAGTTCCCTAGGGAGTCCTGGTGTGGCACTGTAGGATAAGCACTGGACTGCTAACCACAAAGCCTGTGGTTCAAATCCACCAGTCACTCCTTAGAAAGCCTACAAAGGGATTCTATGAACAGAAACTAATTGGACAGCACTTAACAAGTCTTTACAGGAATAGATTGCCAGGTCTTTTCTTCCATGGACCACGTGGTAGCTGAGTGCCAGAAACTGAGCCATTGGGAGTCCTTGCAATCTCAACCGCTTTCTAGGTGATTTTGATGATCAGCCAAATTTAAGGACCACTGAGCTAATCCAAAAGGAACCTGGTGATGATACAGGATAAATAATGGACTGCTAACTGCAAACCCACCAGCCACTCCAAGGGATAAATATAAGGTTGTCTGCTCCCATAAAGCTTTGCAATCACAGGATCCCTAAAGAGCAATTCTACTTTGTCTTACAGGGTAACTATGAATTAGAATCAAATCGATGGCAATGGATTTGGGGGCTAATCCAATCCTCCTCTCATTTTGAAGATAAATAATCTGAAATCAAAGAAGGGATGTGAATGACCTAATTCCACACAATGGGATAGTGACAGTCAGAAACTGAATTCCCTTCCATGATGAATTACATTTTGATTAACATTTCCAACTTAGCATACTGACTTCTGTTCTACTTGCTTCTGGGCAAGCCCACCCTTCAGTACATGGAGGGCATCAAACAATCAGACTGCTTTTATAGAGGCCACCAGAAGAGCACTTGCTTTTCCTGAGTCCAAAGTTCCTGATTTCCATGACATTTTTCCAAGCAGCGAGGCTGGTAAGGAGACATGATAGAATCAAGAACCAGAACAGAGCGAAGGTAAATCTCACTTTACTTTCACAGTAATCCAAGAAGGGTACCGCTTGGATTGCTGTCTGTCTCTCGCCAATGTCTTGTGGTGCTAGGCCCACCCAAAGAAGGGAAATGGATAGACTTAGAGAAGCTACAACATTTAAAAGGCAAAACATTTTCAAAAATAAAAACAACAGCAAACAGCACCCTTCTAACAAAGGGATTGAATACAGAAAGATCGTAAGTCAGTTGCTTTAAAAGTAAATGCTTCTCCATTAAGAAACAATGGAGTGACCCTCCCTCTTAGGCCAATGCCATCCTAAATGTGGCAAAATGGTATAATAGCATGGCAGATTTAAGTACCAGAGTATTAGGTTGAATTCTGAGTCCTCAAAACAGGGGTACAAGGAATGTAGGAACAGAAAACTTCTCTTCAGTTTCTTCCTCATTTTGTAATCCCTTCAAACTTAATACCCAATTTCTCCTTAGGTATTACTACACCTGGACAGTAGCTTCCCATTTAGGACTATTATACTCCATGCCTTCTGTCTTACCTTCCATCCTGCTTTGTAACTGACTCCAGCAAAGAAAAGGTAAGTTATATTTAATCAATTCATACTAATGTGGGCTAAGACTCGTAATATACTCTGTTGTTGTTGTTAAGTGCCATCGAGTCAGTTCCAACCCATAGTGACCCTGTATAGGGTCTACGAGGAGCTTCTGGTGAGCTTGAACTATTGACCTTGCAGTTCAAACGGCTTTGTAGTCTGACGCATGAACCCACAACACTACACCAGGATGCTAATATACTCTGAGTTACCAACAATTTTAACAGACTATATGGATCCAAATAAATCTCTACTTGACAAACTTCTAAGAACTAAAATAAACAAAACGAAAATTCAGGTACTAGAGTGGAAAATATCTTAGGAGAAGTGAAGATACTTGCGATGTTTGGAAGTCTAACATCAAGGCTCAACTTTTCAAGTTATTACTGCTTCTCTGCCATGAATTCTAAAAGCTCCCTTCTCTACCTCCAAAAGGGCTCCCCTGGCAGCAGTAGTTCTAGGTGTTAGGCTAAACCAGGGAAGCTGGGTTACTGACAAATTGGAAATTGTTAAGATGCTAACTGTCTGAATACAAAAACAGAATACAAAGAAAGGAGCAAACCATAATTCAAAAGGTTTTATTTATTTTTGAGACTACATAAAACAGCTGCCCTAATGATTTGTGGGCAAGAGTGGCAAGATCTTACCTAAGCCGAGAAGAGGCCTGAGAATCTGAGATTTGATGTCACTCAATTTTGAATAGAACCGTCTCTCTGTAGTAGCTAACTCATGGAGACTGGCAATATATCCCATAATGTTTTTGTCCACCAAGGTTATAAAGCTGTTTTTTCCTGCTGTCACTCTGCTTATGTACCCGAGCTGAAACGAGAGAAGAACTAGATGAAAGATAAAATTTAATTTACCAACGGCAATTTGTTAAATTTTCAGGAAATCTGCAACCTGGTTATTAAACTATTGTTGATTTGAAATCAGACACAGTAAATGTATCAAAAATTTGGCATGCACTTTTTTTTAAGCTGATTTACCAGCACATCACTGTTATATATGTAAACCTAGATCTATATCTATGCTTATATCAAATCCATGTTGGCTAAAAACATAGAATAGCAGAAAAATGTCTACTTGTGCTCCACTGATGATGCAAAGGCATGCAACTGTGTGAATCTCAACAAACTATGGATAACATTGCAAATAATAGACCAAGAGACAGTTATTCTAACAGTACAGGGGATACTGCATGGTTTAAAATCAGGAAAATCATACTTATTCAATTTGTATGATGAGCAAACAATCCAAGAAGCTGGACTATATGAAGAAGGCGGAGGCATCAGGATTGGAGGAAGACTCATTAACAATCTGAGATATGCAGATGACATAACCTTGCTTGGTGGAAACAAAGAGGACTTGAAGCATTTATTGATGACGATCAAAGACTACAGCCTTGGTATAGAATTCACTTCAACATAAAGAAAAGAAAATCCTCCAAATTGGACCAATAAGCAACATCACAATAAATGGAGGAAAAACTACAGCTGTCAAGGCTTTCGTTTTACTTGGATCCAGAACCAGCTCCCATGGAAGCAACAGCCAAGAAATCAAATGACATACTGCATTGCGCAAATCTGCTATAAAAGACCTATTTAAGTGTTAAAAAGCAAAGGCATCATCCTAAAGTGTAAGGTTTGTGAACATGGTTCTTTCAGTTCCCTGATGTGCATGCAAAAGTTGGCATAAGGGAGATCGAAAGAGAAGTGAAGTCTTTGAATTATGGTGCTGGCAAAGAATAGTAAGTACACTATGGACTGCCAGAAGAGCCAATAGGTTTGTTGGAAGAAATACAGCCACGTGATCCTTATAAGTGTAGGTGGTGAGACCTCATCTCTCACACTTCGGACATGACATCAGGAGACACCAGTTCTTCAAGAAGGATACCATGCGTGGTAGGGTAGAGGGTCAGCAAAAAAAAGACGACTCTCAATATGATGAAATAAGACAGTGGCTGCCACAATTTGCTCAAGCAGAGCCATGATTGTGAGGCTGGCACAGGACCAGGAAATGCTTTATTGTATAGTACACAGGGTCACTGTGAGTCAGAACCCACTCAGTGGCACCTAACAACAACAGTAACAACAGCTGTATTGCTAGCTATATTCAAATGTACATCTAGATTTCAATCATTTATTTCCAGGATTTTTAAAACTTCACATTACAGCTGTTTGGAACCACAGATATACTGGATATATAAAGAGCCAAATGATAAATAAATGTATGTCTCAGGACTCCTTTTTGAATGAAATAGGACTAAGAAGACCAGAAAGCATCTCAGTGCTGTACATTGAAATATCAAGGGTCTAGCTATTATTATCTTGGAGTCCTGGTATAATGCTGGAGGATACAGCACTGTGCTGCAAGGTCGGTTTGAGCCACAAACCTTGTGCAGGGTCAGCGGTTCGAACTCACCAGCCACTCCTTGGAAACCTTGTCCAGGAACCGTATGAGTTGGAACTGACTCAACGCACTTAACAACAACAGGCATTAGTGAACTGAAATAGACTGGTATTTGCCATTTTACCTATGACACTCATACAGTTTATGATGCCAGGAATAACCAATTGAAGAGGAATGGTGTCACATTCATCACAAAAAAGAGCATTTCAAGATCTATCTAGTCATATAATGTGGTCGGTGATAGGATAATATCCATACAGCTACAAGGAAGAGCAGTTGTTGTTAGTGCTGTGGAGTGGGTTTCGACTCATAGTGACTTTGTATAGGGTTTCCAAGGCTATAAATCTTTATAGGAACAGAAAGCCTTACATTTCTCCTGTGGAACTGGTAGTTTAACTGGTGACCTTGAGGTTAGCAGCCCAACTTGTAATCACTATGCTACCAGACCAGTTAATATCATCATTATTCAAATTTATGCGTCAACCAGTAGAGCCAGTGATAATGACATTGAAGAATTCTACCAACTTTTTCAGTCTGACACTGATCAAACATGCAGTATTGATAATTACTGGTGATTGAAATGCAAAGAGGAAGGATCAGTAGTTGGAAATATGGCCTAGGTGATACAAACTACTAGAGATTGCATAATAGAATTCTGCAAGACCAACAACTTATTCATTGCAAAGACGTCTAAAAAACAACATAAAAGAAGACTATATACATGGATCTCGCCAAATGTAATAAAATGAATCAACGGACTACATCTATGGGAAGAGACAGTGGAAAAGCTCCATAATCATCAGCCAAAACAAGACCTGGGGCAAATTGTGGAACATTTGCATATGCAAGCTTGCATATGCAAACTCAGGCTGAAGATGAAGAAAATTAAAACAAGTCCAGGAGAGCCAAAATTCAACCTTGAACATACCCAACTGAATTTAGATATTGTCTCAAGAACAGACTCTTAGACACCAATGGCCAAAAACCAGAAGAGTTTTGGAATGACATCAAGAACATCACACAGGTGAAAAGGAAAAGGTCATTAAGAAGACAAGAAAGAAGGAAAAGACCAAATGGATGCCAGAAGAGACTTTGAAACTTGCTCTCAAGCATAGAGATGCTAAAGCAATGAAAGAAATGAGGAGGTAAGAGAGATGCACAGAAACACTTAAAGGGCAGCTCGAGAAGATAAAGTCAAATATTTTAATGAAATGTGTGCAAAGACATGGAGTTAGAAATCCCAAAAGGCAAGAACATGCTCAACATTTCTCAAGTTGAAAGAACTGAAGAAACAATACAAGCCTCAACTGGCAATATTGAAGAATTCTATAGGCAAAATACTGAATGATATAAAAAGAATCAAAAGAATATGGAAGGAATACACAGAGTCACTATACCAAAAAGAAACAGTTGATGTTCAACCATTTCAAGAACGTGTGACTGAGAATGAATGATATTGAAGGAAGAAACCCAAGGTGCACCGAAGGCACTGGAAAAGAAAAACACTCCAGGAATTGATGGAATAGAAATTGAAATCTTTCAACAAACTGATGCAGCACTGGAGGCACTCACTCATCTATGCCATGAAATTTGGAAGACAGCTACCTGATCAACTGATTGTCAGAGATCTATATTTGTGCCCATTCTAGAAAGGTGACCCAAAGGAATGTGGTAATCATCAGACAATATCACATGCAAGTAAAATTTTGCTAAAGATAATTAAAAAACAGTTGCAACAGTACAGAGCCAGAGGTTCAAGCTGGATTCAGACAAGCGATATCGTTACTGTTGTCAGATGGATCTTAGCTAAAAGCAGAGAATACCAGAAAGATGTTTACCTGTGCTTCACTGATGATGCAAAAGTTTTCAACTATGTGGATCATGACAAGTTATGGATAACATCTTGAAGGATGGATATACCAGAATACCTAATTGTGCTCATGAGGAAACTGTACATATACCAAGTGGCAGTCCTTCGAACAGAACAAGGGGACACTGAAACAGGAAACGTGTGTGCCAGAGCTGTATTCTTTCACCACACTTATTTAATCTGCATGCTGAGCAAATCATTCAAGAAACTATATTAAACGAAGAATGTGGCATCAGGATCGGAGGAAGACTTACTAACAACCTGCAATATGCAGATGATACAACCTTGCTTGCTGAAAGGGTTGTTGTTGTTTGTTGTTATGTGCCATCGAGTCGGTTCCGACCCATAGCGACCCTGTATAGGGTTTCCGAGGTAGAAGACTTAAAATACTTACTGATGAAGATCAAAGACCACAGCCTCCAGTATGGGTTGCACCTCAATGTAAAGAAAACAAAAATCCTCACCACTGGGTCAATTAACAGCATCATTATAAATGAAGATTGAAGTTTTCAAAGAGTTCATTTTGCTTGGAGACACTATCAACACTCGTGGAAGCAGCAGTTTATAAACCAAACGACACATTAGATTAGGCAAATCTGCTGCACAAGACCTTTTTAAAGTGTTCAAGAGCAAAGAGTTAGTTTAAGGAGTAAGGTGTGCCTGACCCAGGCATTTTCAACAGTCACACATGCATGTAAAAGTTGGATATTGAAGGAAGAAGACTGCAGAAGAACTGAGACATTTGAGTTATGATGTTAGAGAATATTTAAAGTACCATGGACTGCTAAAAGAACGAACAAATTTGGTTGGAAGAAGTAAAGCCAAAATGCTCCTTAAAGCCAGAATAGCAAAACTTCGTCTTTCATACTTCAGACATTATCATCAGCAGGGACCAGTCCCTGGAGAAGGACATCATGCTTGGTAAAGTGGAGGGTCAGAGAAAAAGAGGAAGACACCCAAGATGGCTTGACCCAGTGGCAGCAGCAATGGGCTCGAGCGTGATAACGAATGTGAGGCTGGCGCAGGATGAGGCAGTGTTTTGTTCTGTGGTCTGTAGGGTCGCTATGAGTCAGAACTGACTGGACAGCACCTAACAACAACACATCTTTGAAGATGTGAGTTACTATAGTGGTGAAAAGAAAACCAGAAGTGGGCCAATGGTGTAAATTTATGAAAGAGATAGTAAGTAGGAAAGCCATGAAATTCAAAACTGTTAAGTGAAAAAGAAAAGGGTAAATAGTAATAAATAGAAAGGCTGAGAGCAGGGGGCAAGCAGCGGGAGACAGTGCAGTGTTGGTGGACTGGCACATCTGCCACTGGCCTATATCATGCCCCTGCAATTGTTGCTTTCAAATTTAGACATCTGCTCGATTTCTATTCTAATTCACCTCTGAAGGTAAATGCAATCAAGAAACCTCATTATGAAATATGTTTTGTAATAATCCTACATGAAGGCACTAATTTAATAAAATTTATTAAGTATGTACTATCAGGATACAAAGAACTGACTCGACGGCACTTAACAACAACAACATCAGGATACAAAAGGAACCCTGGTGGTAGGCAGGTAGACAGGGTATGGTAAATAATGGGCTGCTAAGACAAGGTTGGTGGTTTGAAGGAACCCACCAGCTGATCCACAAGAAAAAGATGATGCTGCCTGCTCCTGTAAAAATTTACAGTTTCAAAAACCCTATGGAGCAGTCCTACTCTGTCCTATGGGGTCACTATGAGTTGGAATAGACTGGATGGTATAGCAGCAAATGAGAACGACTACAATGCCAACCTCATGAAATTTACATAATTCCAGTTAAGGAAGAGGACAGTAAGCAAAGTAAGTACCTTACCTAGTGATTAGATGTACTAACAATACTGAGAAAAACAGAGCAGGCAAAGGAGTAAGGCAGGATGGGAAGAGTTTTGTGATTTTAAATTACGGTAGTCAGAGACACTTGATAATCATTAGGCATACATACAAATATTAACAAAAGTAGACTTTTCATGTGCAACAAAATGTGGGTTTTGGAATCCAATTCCTGTTTACCTTACTACAGGAGAGAAGTACTGGAGTCTTAGTACCACTGTGATTCTCTGGAAGGTTGTCACCTTCTGTCGGATCCTGACGACCACTGTAATATAATCCTGGCTGGAAATCTTCTGTATCCACTAAAAACAGGGAATAATCCTGGCCTGCAGCAACACTCCAGACTCCATTTTCACCATTTACCTGCAACAACATCAAGACACTATCTGTTTAAGATGGAGCGATCCGGCGAAACTTTAGATCCACAAGAACTGAAATGCTACGTTACTTAAACAGACATATGATGGATGCAAAGCCAGTCATATTTCAGAAGGCAAACTCACCCAGCTTTGAGCCCAATCAGATGCGGAAGAGATTCAGGACAGAGCAGAAATCCCTTGCTCAGCTTTTAAATTTAGAATTATTTTTATACAACTCTGAAAATTTGGAAATTTAAAAAGAGAAAACCATAGATCTGATTTTTATATTGTTATGCTTACAATGTCCTTGTGTTATAACCAACGGGCCCAGAAAGTCCTAGAACCCTATCTGGCAAGTAGGACACACTGGCTGCCTTTACTCATTTACAATCAGTTGTATATATCAAATCAAGACAAAAATAAAACAATGCAATGAAGCTAAATCCCATTCTGGTCATACTAAACCCTTGGGTGGTAAAAACCTCTCTGGTATAAATTAATTGTTCCAACTCCCATAATCATGAAACTGGCACAGTTGATGTTATGTGTCAACTTGGCCAAGGCTATTAATTCTTAGTGGTTTGGCAACCACTGGACTGATTGTTCTTCTATAATGTAGCATAATGTCTTCACCTCCATGATGAGATATGATATGAACAATCAATCGATTGAAAGATTATGGCTTGCTCCAGTATCTAAATGGATGTTCCGGCAGGGATCACTCTCTGGATCCTGCAGCTCACTCATCATTAGGTGACTTCCAGTTTGTGGAACATGAGCCAGCAGCCTGTTGTACTGTTTAAGGAAGTGGACTGTCACACCATTCTCCCATGGAGTGGCTAGTACATTCATACTGCCCTTTCTGATAGCAGTTGAGTGCTTAACCACTGCACGACTATAGCTCCTCCAAAGGAACTAGAAACTACCAATCTTTGAATATCATAACTTGCACTACACTAAAACCAATTCATATAGTGAATGAAGCATACGTCAGTACTTTCAGCTCCATTATAGAAAATGAAAAGGTATATAAAAAGCTTTTACCACTATATATGTTTAAAATGACACTATAGAATACTATTATGTAAAAGTTAAACTTAGTTACCAAACAGTAGACATTTTAGTTTATAGCTCAGACATCAGCACTACAATGCTAGAAAGATTTATGTTCTAAAAGAAAGCACCTATACATTTTTTGCTTTTTTAAGAATTATGAATATTAAACGAATAATGGAGGTTAAGAAGAAATACAGACTGAAACATCAAGAAAAAAAATTAAACTTGAAAAAAAATGTTTTCATATTTAAAATTTGGGTTATTTTGAGAAAATTAAAAAATTGATGTTAGAAATACAAAATTTCCTGTATTTTTAAAAATAAGAAACAGAAAAACACAAAAGATTATCATTCAGAATTCTGGAATATAAAAGTTATCAAACTCACAAAGGTACCTTTGCAAGACGAGGAACTGTTGTTGGAAAATCGGAATGTCCAAGTTGACCAAAGGTGTTGCTACCCCACGAGTAAACCTTTCAGAAAATCACAGGTCAGTAAGTAAGAGTTGTGAAAGCTGATTTTGTATGTCAACTCTGAACCTATGATTACAACTTTTACAAATTACATATAAATTACTTAGTCTCCCTACTTTAAAAAAAATGCACATTTAAGAAAATTCATTTGTAAACAAGAGCTAATGTACAGACAGAGTACCTACAACGGTTAACAGTAATGATAATAACTAACATTTTTGAGGTGCTTACTAAACAAGCACTGTTCTTAACACTTCCTTTGCACTAATTAATTTTTAATTCTGACAACAATCCTTTAAAAAAAAACCACACACACACAGAAAAGGAAACCAGAGAGGTTAAATAACTTATCAAAGTTCACAAATTTATAAGTGGCAATTAGGATTTAATCCCAGGAACTATCCTATACTGTCTCTTACAAAGGAGGTAGCAGAAAATAAAGGTAGATATTATTTTAAGAAATCATGCAGAGTGACTGCAAAGCCTATTCATACAAAAAGAGTTATTAAGGAGAAACACTACTGACAAAAGAAACCTAGATTACAGTGACTATGCTTAATGAAAAGGATTGCTTATTCCAACTCCAACAGTAATTGATAGTCATTGTACAAGACTGTAACAGTACAAAAAACATGAAGAAAGTGAAAACAAACCATGGAATATTTGATCATTTAGATACAGCTATTATTTTGTTTTCGGAAAATGCACAGACATTCTTCCAGAAATTTAAATGTCTATAAAATAGACATAATGTACATATATAGGAGGCTTCTAAAAAGTTTGTGGAAAATTCCACTATCTTTTAACTCAAATTTTCACAGACTTTTTGAAGCCCTATCAGAAAATACAAAGTACAAAATGGGCGCATGCCAAAAATGCTGCTTTGTGACCTCTCTTCCACTAAAATTTTAAAGTAAGATCCACAGTATTATTTTTAATAATAGTATCAAATTTCACTGTGGGTATAACTTTAATCAATTATCAATGGAATCAAGTATATTTATTAATACATTCTTCTCAATTATTTAGTATTTAAAATTTTTATAGAAAAATTTTGGAATATATATGTTTGTATGCATGTAGTTCCTTAAGATGAATTTCTAGGCTAGACTTTGGGCCAATAAAGAAATACATACTTATTTTTAATACATACCAACAAACTGCCTTCCAGAAAGATCTAATTTAAATTCTGTCAGCATATCACTAATGGTCACTGAGTAATTAAATACAATCTTACTAGGCTGGTGATTGTTGTCATTAAGGACCGTTGAGTCTCTGTAGGGTTTTCCAGCAGTGGCTGGTGATTTTGAACTGCTCACCTTGCAGTTCAAACTGATGTTGAGGTGGAGTGCTTACCCTTTGGTGCCACACCTCGACTACTACTACTTGGTTGTTGTTGTTAAGTGCTATTGAGTTGGTTCCGAATCACAGTAACCCTGTATAAGGTTTCTGAGAAGCAGCTGGTGAGCTTGAACAGCCAATCTTGGGGTCCAAACCGACCTTGTAGTCTGGCGCATTAACTTGCAGCGCCACATCAGGACTCTTCTTTTATATATGGAATTTAAATATCCTTGAATAATTTTTCTCTATTTACAGAGCTGTTGCTGTTAAGTGCCATCGAGTCAGTTCTGGACTAATAGTGACCCTGTTTATAGAGTTGTTGTTGTTGTTATGTGCCATGGAGTCGGTTCCGACTCATAGTGACTCTGCACAGGGTTTCCGAGGCTGTTAATCTTTATGGGAGCAGAACGCCTCATCTTTCTCCCGCGGAGCAGCTAGTAATTTTGAACTGCTGACATTGTGGTTCGCAGCTAGATTCATAACCACTACGCTACCAGAGTTCCATATAAGTACTAAATATCTTCCGCCAGTTTGTTATGCATCCTTGGTTCCAAAAACATTTACTGAATATTTAACTCTTTTTTAAGAAGCTCTGGTAGTGCAGTGGCTATGAATCGGGCTGCGAAACCTTAAGGTCAGCAGTTTGAAACTACAAGCTTTTCCATGGGAGAAATATAAGGCTTTTTGCTCCTGTAAAGATTTACAGCCTTGGAAACCCTGTACAGGGTCACTATGAGTCGGAACCAACTCCACGGCACATCACGACAAGTCTTGTTCACACAAGTGATTTGAAATGCTCACTTTTACCATATACTAAATTCCCATATACACTTGGTTCTATTTCTAGTCTCCAAGCATATTTCTCTCTCTCTGATCTATATGCAGTTTTGTAATATATTTCATAAGGCTAATCTTTACACTCTTCCTTTCCGCTCTTTTGCAGAATTTACCTAACTCACTTCTTACAGTTATAACCTTTACAATAATTTTGGAGTCATTTTGTCAAGTTGTAAATATAATTCCTGGGATTACACTGAATTTACAGATTTAGGGAGCAATTATATTTTGCAGTATCAATTTATAGGATCAGCACTGGACCGAGAACCACAAGGCCAGCAGTTCAAACCCACCAGCTGCTCCTTGGAAACCCTACACAGGGTCGCTATGAGTAGGAACTGACTTGACAACAACAACAAACAAAAATAGGAGTCCTGGTGTGGTGCTGTAGGATAAGCACTGAACTGTTAAACACAAGATTAGTGGTCCAGATTGCTGTGAGTCAGAACTGATGTGATGGCACTTTACAACAACAACATGAAAAATAGAATATCTTCCTCTTTACCCAATTTTCTTTGATGACAATTCAAAAGCAGTTAAGAATTTCTGTCAGGTGGACTCTACACATGTCCTACCAAGACTATCTATTCCCTTTCTACTTTGGCTATTATTGTGACTAGCTTCTTTTCTCCCAAAGTATGTTTTCTGTTTAATTTCAGGTATACAAGAAAGCTAGCAATTTGCATATGTTTATTTTGTAATTGACCACTATGCTAATCTCTCACTTTTAAGCTTTTTAGATGATTTATCATGTTAATCAAAGTAAGTTCTTTTATTTTCCAATATTTATATTTGTTTACATGGGTTATTTTAGTTTCTTAGCTAGCCTAGTTTGTGAAGTTTAAAACAAATATTTACAGAGTTTAGAATCCAAAAAGACACAGAAGTTGATACAGAATCGTTATCTGAATATACTTAAGACTAATTTAAAACAACTGATTTTTAGGAGGTTTTATCTAAGTGTCACCCCATCCATTGTCATCAAATCAATTCTGACTTAACCTTATAGAAAAGAGCAGAACTGCTCCTCAGGGTTTCTCAGACTATAAATCTTTATGGAAACAGATAGCCTCATTTTTCTCCCTCAGAGCAGATGGCAGGTTTGCACCACCAACCTTGAGGTTAGCAGCTAATTGCTTAACCCACTGTGCAATCAGAGAGCATTTTCATTTGAGGGAGCTTCCAAAAAGTTCATGGAAAATAGAACTGAAAGATAATGAAATTTTCCCATGAACTTCTTGAAGTCCTCTCGTAGAAGTATATAGACATGGTTTTGGGAGGTCACTTTCAGGTCCCAGAATTAAAATGGCTTCTCCCATAATATCTCAATTATGAATTTTCTTCACCTAAGAATAAAAATACACCAATACTCTTAAACATCTTGCCATGTCGCCTTCCATAAAAGTAAGCTAAGCACTGAACAGTCTGCCTCCTACCTGGGATTTTGCTGTAAGTGCAAGAGAATGGGAGCCACCTGCCTCCACAGAGACGACTTCTTTACCATCCAGAAATTTTACACACAGTGGCTGCAGCCTTAAAGAAAAACATACACACCCAAATAAACTCCAGGAAAGAAATAACTTCATAGATTTCCTAATATTGTAGAATAACTTCTTTCAAGTAAAACTAAATATTTCAAAAGAAAACAAAGTAAAAAACTGGTTATATGGCACTGTAGGACAGGCACTGAACTTAATTAACTGCAACAACGGTAGTTCAAACCCACCAGCTGGTCCTTAGAAACCCTATATAGGGTCGCTAAGAGTCAGAACTGACTTGACACTTAACAACAACACATTTAATCTATACATAAATACTCCAAATAATTTTTAGAACATTTTATAAATGAATAACTAACCCCATAATTCAAATGATAACATTCATAAAACTTACTACCCTGAGATATTCTTTAAAACTTATTCCCTGAAGTCTTCTTAACCCTTAACAATACTTTGGCATAATGAATACAGAATGTTGGCCTTGAGCATAGGCTCTTTGAGATCAGATTGGCAAGATCAGACAGGAACCTTAGGGTCAGAAAAGGAGGCTAGGAATGGTCGCATAGCGCCAATCATGTGATCAGTGTCACTGAGCTGACATATAGAAACTGATGAATGGCTATATGTTTTGGTACATATATTCTCAACAACAACAACAAAAATTATATGAAAACTGTTGCTGCTGTTAAATGTCGTCAAGTTGGTTCCAACTCATACTAATCTTGTATAGGATTTCCGAGGAACAGCTGGTGTATTTCAACAGCTCAATGCTTATCCTACAGTGCCAACCCAGGTCCTACTATTGGTGTTAAGTGCCACTGAGCTGGTTTTGACTCATAGCAACCCTGCATAGGGTTTCCAAGGAGTGATTGGTGAGTTTGAACCACTGACCTTTTGGTTCAAACAGACTTCACAGTCCTGTGCTTTATCCACACCAGGACTACTATTAGGTACTGATTTATATAACATTCATTCAAAACAGCATTTAATGTTACTTAATACCAACCACTGGGAATGCAGTGGGTCTGTAGGATAAACACTGGACTGTGAACCACAAGGCCCACCAACTGCTGCTTGAAAACCGTATACAGTGTCGCTGTGAGTCGGAACCGACTCAATGACAATTAGCAAAATAAAACAGATACTTCTAAGGAGCCCAGGTAGTGTAGTGGATTTCGAGCTGGACTGCTAACTACAAGGCCAGCAGTCTGAATCTACCAGTCGCTTCATGGGAAAAAGATGAGGCTTTCTGCCGCTGTACAGATTTACAGCTTCAGAAACCCTATAAAGAGTCACTGTGAGTTGGAATCAACTTGATGGCACACAACCATGACCACGACCATAGATAATTCTGTTCTCACCTAATTATAAATCTGTACCTACCCATAAGAAACTCTGGTAGTGTAGTAGTTACTAATCGGGCTGCTAACCTCAAGGTCAGCAGTTTGAAACTACGAGCCGTTCCACGGGAGAAAGATGAGGCTTTCTGCTCCCATAAAGATTTACAACCTTGGAAACACTGTACAGGGTCACTATGAGTTGGAACCGACTCCATGGCACATAACAACAACAAAGCCATATATCAACTTGTCTATACCCATCAGTATGTACTCAAACACGCCTATTCACTTTGGTTGTGCTGTACTTACTACATTCCCATTTGGTCAACATCCCTTTTTGTATGACAAGATGAATACACATCCTAAAATAGGTGGACCGGTGTTCCTTGGACACTTTAATCCTTTATTGTTAAGAACAAATGCAAGACTAAGGTGATAAGACAGTTGATCAGAATTAATGACACATAGGAATTTGGAGCTTAAAGGGCCAGACTTCCTGTGTGAAGAAACTGCCATCTGGACGCCTCCCTAGGCCCTTTTTTGTTAAGAGTTCAGGGAGCAGATGGAGGCCAGGACCCCAGCAGCACAGGTAGCACTTACCTAGGCAGAACGTCGCCATGCCCCAGCTGCCCTTCCTTCCCTTTCCCCCACGTCCACACCTCTGTTCTCAGAGAAGGGAGGAGGGCATCCGCCTCCCCACTGTATGTGGGGGTTAGAACCACTGTTCGCGTTTTCACCCGTGCAGCCTTTCTTAAGAGTCTGGGGGAGACTGAAAACACACAGGGTGGGATGAGAGAGTAAGGGTATGAAAAGAAGCTATCCTTGGCAAACTGCTGATTTTCAAAGAAATACAGTAGTATGGTATTTCAGAAGCATATTCTATATCATTTCTCGGGGGAAAAAATGTCATTTAGCCTATTATATTCTATGCTCCTATCACCTTCCCTGCTAGTATAGTGGATTATGAGCTGGGCTGCTAATTTACTGCAAGGCTGTCAACAGTTTCAATCTGCCAGTTTCTCAGAAGGAGAAAGATGAGGCTTTCTGCTCCCATAAAGATTTACATTCTTGGAAATCCTACACAGGGTAGTTATGAGCCGGATCCGATTCAACAGCACACAACCATCACCACCACTATCACCTTCTCTGTGGAGCCCTGGTGTGGCACTGTAGGATAAGCACTAAAATGCTAAGCACAAGGTTGGTGGTTCAAACCTGTGGCCCGCTCCTTGGAAACCCTATACAGCGTTGCTATGAGTTGGGACTTATTCGAAGAAACTTATCAACAACCACCACCTTCCTTACAGAGATTTATATACACATTAGCATACTGATGACATGGGCAAGTCCTACAATGAAAAGCCCTGTTTAAATGTATTTAATCCAGCCCTGCTTCCAAACATCCTGTTACAAAAGTCTTTCTTATTAATATCTATTGACTCCATTATAAAGAATATGCTTAACAAAATACAACATTAGTAAATATTTCTCACCTTTCAAAGCAAAATTAAATTATAAGTCTTCCTAAGACAATGTTTAATATATTATAAATAATTGTGATAAGGAATTCATTATAGATATTAAACTAAAGAATGTCTATGGTGGGTAAACCATAAAAAAATAAAGCACTAAAATATAAACATTTCATATTCTGATTATTTCCAACTCATTTATAAAGAGCTAAAATAATCTTTAAAAGAATTCTGCCATCTTTTTCTAGTGCCAAAATTTCAGCAAAAGCATACGATATTATGTGAATTTTACATATTAAATTGATGAGAATGCAGTTTTTAAGATAATCAAATGTCACTAAGTACAGACTTAGTCATTAACTTGTGGGTCACAAGAAAGTGATCATTATCTGCTTAGATCAGTATCTTTTCTGGTGATGGTATCACCCATTTGTATGTATATAGAGATTCAAATGCACCTACTTGATGTTTCCTCACTGAAGTATTGCAGATCATTTTCAAAGAGAGAGGGGAAAAAGAGTACAAGTAAAAATTTCCAGTGACAGTTTCAAGTTATTACGTATAATTTAACCTTAGCAAACAAGCTGTTCACAGAAAATAGTATTCTCTACTTGTTGTTCAGAGAAATCTCAAATATTATCTATACTCAAAATGCTAAAAGACATTTCAGAATAAGAAAATTTGGGTGCAAGATTCTTCTTCATCCTTAACATTGGGTTTTCTACCTTGGAAGGCCTGTACAAAAGTGGTATAAACCAAGGGTTAGCAAACTACAAGTACAGTTATCTACCTGTTTTAGTAAACACAGCTTTACTGGAATATCTGAAAACAAACCTCACTGCTGTCGAGTCAATTCCAACTCACAGAGATCCTACAGGACAAAGTAGGACTGTTCCATAGGGTTTTAGGAACTATACATCTTAATGGGAACACACTGCCTCTTTTTTCTCCTGCAGTGGTTGGTGGGTTCAAACCACTGGCCTTGCAGTTAGCACCCCAACACTTAACCTGCTGAGCCATCAGGGCTCTTACTGGTGGTACATGGCTTTGCTCATTTGTTTATGTATCTTTTCTGGCTACTTTAACACTAGAACAACATAGTTGAGTAGTTGTGACAAGAGACTATGGTCTGTAAATCCTAAAGTATTTCTCTCTGTTCAATGCTTCTCAAACTTTAATGTACATTACCAATCACCTAGATATCTGGTTATAATACATATTCAGATTCAGTTATGTTTAAAGAAGTGGCTGAGATTCTGCATTTCTAACAAGTTCCCAGACACTGGTGCTATTGGTGGTGGTGGTCTGTAGACCACCTTTCAGAAGCAGAGGTTTAGATGACTAAGATTGTGAAATTGACTAAGAAACATAGACAAGCTAATTGTATAATGCTCTTCATACTCCACATAGTTTACTTCTAGTTGCTTCAGAAAATGAAGTTATCTCTTATTAAAGCTTAAAATTTAATGATATGGGGAATGCTAGAATTATCAACTCTTTCAGGCATGTACAATTCCTCATTTACCCAATCATGGTTACTATCTGCCATCTCATTGACCTAGTACAGGCCCCAACTAGAAAACAAGGAGGCTACTGCTACATTCCTGCTGTAGCGCTGCAGGATAAGTACAAGGTATCCAGGTCGGTGGTTCAAACCTACCAGCCGCTTTTTGGAAACCCTATGTTGTTGTTGTTAAGTGCCGTCGAGTCGGTTCCGACCCACAGCGACCCTGTACAGGATTTCCGAGGGTGTAAATCTTTACAGGAGTAGAAAGCCTCATCTTTCTCCCACGGAGCGGCTGGTAGTTTCGAACCGCTGACCTTAAGGTTCACAGCCCGATTCGTAACCACTACGCTACCAGAGCTCCTTCAGAACCAACTTGATGGCACTTAACAACAACACTGCTACATTACAGAACAACTAAATAAATATGATTCATAAGCAGAGACATCAAGAAAATGTTACATCCTATAGGTGTGGGACTGTGGGTTAATGCGCCAGAATGCAAAGCCGTTTGAACTGCAAGGTCAGTGGTTCAAGCTTACCAGATGCTCCTCTGAAACCCTATACAGGGTCGCTATGGGTCGGAATCGACTCGACAGCACTTGACAACAACAACATAGCTATTTCTAAAGCTGGGAAGTAGGTAACTTTCTTTTTAAACCACTAAGTTAGCCCCAAAATTAAAATATGTCAACTTTAATAATTAGGAAAGCTAATTATAATATAATAAAATAAAATGTAGCATGGGCTGTCCGGAGTATCTGGGATTCATAAAGCCCAGTTATTTCCTTACCTTGGGACAACAATCCAGGAAGGGAGAGTCTTCGGCTGCCTCCCTCTGATTCTTCTTCTCTGATATCCACGAGACTTGAGCTTTTCTTTCCTTGCATTGACTCCTGTTTAACCTGCTCTTCTCGGCCTATGGAACTACTGCCTGTCTGAGCTCCAGTTTCACAAGGGGCTGTATTATAAAAGTTCATCACTTTCTTCAGAGACAAGGCCCCAGCTTCATAAGTAGCAGCCACTCTCACCCCAACAGCAGATGCACAAGAGACCACTAAGCTGTTTAGGGCTGAGGTGCTTGTGGTTGGTGGGCTGTGAAGATTAGGAACTGCTTCTTCTACAAGAGGCTAAAATACACACACATCAAAAAGTATATATAAATATATAATCCCTTACACAGCAACCAATAAAGGGAAAGTGTCACATCCATTACTATTTGCATGCTTACTGAATTTAAAGCAACAGGAGGAGGCTGCAAGTGTAAAGCTACCATTGCTTGACCACGGATTTAACACATTAGGAATGAATACTTAAAATACAGTTCCTTACCAACAACTCCCCTTTGGGTTCCGTGTTTTTCCATGGTGTTTAAAAATAACTCCCAGCTGCTTTTATGGAATTAATCACAGTGGGAGGGGATGGAGGAGAGAGTAGGAAATACTGCCTTCCATGCAAGGTGCACATTAGCTACTCTAGGAAATTGGTTGGAAAAATGCAAATTTTCTCACTGATCACATTTAGATACACGTATATTAAGAAATGATAGGTCAGTGAGCCCATATGATAAGCAATGGACTGCGAACCACAAGGCCCGCGGTTCAAGCCCGCCAGTTGCTCTGCAGAGAAAAATGAGGTTTTTCTCTCACTAACAGATTTACAAAATCCTTGGAAACCCTATATAGGGTAGCTATGAATTGGACCCAACTCAATGGCACTAAACAACAACAATACTAAGAAATACAGAAATTTAGATACAGCATATACAGGCAGAAAAGTAAGCTAACCTCTGACCTATCAGCCATAAACTATGTCCTTAAATTCAAGTCCTACTGTCTCATTAATGAGCTGTTTCACACCCTGAGGAAGGTAGGCTGAAGGGATGATCTTTGCTCTTACCACCATGAGGAAAAATGTGGTAGGTTAATAATTAAGCATCTGTAACCAAAAGTTCATCTTAGTGTGATGCATAGGTGTATCAGAAAGTCAAACTGAAGCTCTCTAATATTTTGATGAAAAATCTGTGAAATTTAGTCTGACATATCAAATACCATTGTTTACTAAAAAGGAAAGCTGCTAAATTTACCTACTAAACACAAAAAAGATTTGAGCAGATCACCAAAGATCAGGATAGAAAAACTGCTTCTCATTGTACCCCTAAGTCCCCTAAGGTATATACCCATTTCTTAATGTGTCTGTTATTAAAAAACAAACAAAAAATGTAACAATAACTTAGATTTTCTTAAGAGAAATAAGTGCTGGTGTCTGACAGTGCTTCCTTCTGTTGTGCACGGAGCTGCTATGACCCCACAGCAGCTAACAACAACAACAGCATCGTGCAGGAAACATAATACGTACTCAATACACTGTGGTGGATTAAACGCTAACAGGAAAACTATTCCTGTGCAAATAAGGGAATGTATCATTTAAATACTTGATAATATTTTTAAAAATCCATAGAAAGCAAAAGAAACGAAAAGAAATACTTGTTGGCGATGCAGTCCCCATTAGCATGTTCAGAACTATTGTCATTATTTGCACCCTTTGTTTACAAAAGCTTATAATAGAAGCATTTAAGGTGACTATTTTAAGGGTTCCTGACCATCAGCTAGAAGAAAGTCACAAAATTCGACTGTACATAAACCTTCTATTTTTCTTCTAAGTGACACCTTATACTTAATGATATTTAAGAAAACAGGATCAAGAATTTTGCTTAAAGACGTAATTTTAGGTGTCGTTTTTCATAAGCCCAGTCAGTTCTAACGCACAGTGACTCTGTATTGGGTTTCCAAGGTAGGTGTGGAACCAGCGACCTAGCAGTCAGTAGTCCAGTGCAGATCCTATAGCTTACATGTTACACTGATGTTGTTGTTGTTGCTCTTAAGTGCTGTCCAGTCGGCTCTGACTCATAGCAACCCTATAGAAGATTTCCCAGAAGTGGCTGGTAAGTTTGAATTGCCGACCTCATGGTTCAAACTGACCTTGCACTCTAGTGCTTTATCCTACAGTGCCACATTATAAAATTCTATGCTATTTTAATTTTTGAGCCTTCTAATGTGTTCTAGTTGGGAGTCTTAATGTGCTCTAGGATAAGCACTGGACTGCTAATCCCAAAGTCAGCAGTTCAAACCCAATAGCTGCTTCTCAGAAATCCTATACAGGGTTGCTATGAGTAAGAACCAACTCTATAGTATTTAAAAATAATAACAGTCAACCAGTAGGAAAATGCAAGATTGAGGTATACACTTCATTGCCAGTATTGATTTATTTCACAAAACTGTGTGAAATGTTTGGTTATTTCCCAAAAGTGAGATACTGTTTCAGTAATATCTGCCCAAAAAAAAAAAACTTTCCTAAGCTACGGAGTTTCTACTGAATGAGCTAGACAATCAAGATACAATTTACAAAAAAAAAAAAAAAATTAATTACATTTAATGTAAACATGCACACTATCAAAACTACCATGTTGTTGTTAAGTGCCGTCAAGTCAATTCCAACTTTCTGAGGAGTCGCTGGTCACTTTGAACTGCCAACCTTGTGGAATGCAATCCAGGCTGATCCTACCATGTCACAAAAACTCTAGATGTTTAACAAAATTAACCTAAAGAGAAACCATTTCAGTGATGGCCAAGTCAAATAGTCACATAAGCTGTGTACAATGAATTATTAACTTCAAAAGTAGTGAACTGACTTTTAAAAAGTCAACTCGAAGCTCTTTTATGGTCATATACATGTCTAAGACTCTCCTACTTGCTTTTGTTTGTTTAGACTTTTGTAATGCCTTTCTTCAAATAGCATAGTCTTAGCTCAAAAAAAGAAATCAGATGCCCACGTTTCAGTGTCCAGATTTTGAAATAAAAATTGTTTCTAAATTAAAAAAAAAAAAAAAAAAAAGTCATGTTCTCACACTGACAGAGTAAATAAAAGGAATAATGCAGGAGGCTGTGTGGTTTCAAAAAACCTGAAGGAAAAATCCCCAAATACCCTAAAAATATTGTTTTTAATGATTAGATGGTTTGGTTTGTCATCTTAGAATACCAATGAAAGCAAAAAAAAAAAAAAAAAGTTTGCACTAAGCAATTATCCTTTTAGAATAATTTAAGCAGGGAGACGTAAACTTTACTGTAAGCTCCTGGTAATTAGTTTCTTCCTCCATTTTACCACAAGTTTTCAAAATGACAGTAGTTTAAATAAGATAAAGAACACTATCTGCCCACTTAAAAGAAAATGCCTGATAAGGACCACAATTATAACGGCAAAAGACTCAAAATGTGTACCAGGAAGCTTCTAGGTCTGCCTACAATTGATGGATTCACCTTCATAGCAATCTTCTCTGATAAAGAGGAAGCACAGAAACCCCTTTCAAAGCTTTCTACAGAGCTCTCAAAAGTGGCACAAGTCAGAAGTATCTTTGTGAGTACGTAACTATATCAGATTATACTATTCAGGAGCCCCTCAAAATTCAGTATTTTAGCCATGGGCAAAAAGATACTGGTGGTGGTAGTGGTGGTAACCGTGTCCTGTGGAGTCAGTTCCAACTCATAGTGACCCTGTATAGGGTTACCAGAAGTCCTGGTGTGGTGCTGCAGCATAATGCACTGGACCAAAAGGTTGGTTTGAACCACAAGGTCTGAAATTCAAACTCAGAAGCTGTTCCTTGGAAACCCTAAGACAGGGTTGCTATGAGTCGGAACCAACTCTACCGTACTTAACAACAATGACACAGGGCTTCTGAGGTTGCAAATCTTTATGGAAGCAGAAAGCCTCATCTTTCTTCCTCCCGCACAGTAGCTAGGAGATTTGAAAGACTGACCTAAGCAGCCCAGTTCACAATCCACTATGTTACCAGAGCTTCTTAAACTGCTTTCTGTTCCTGCAAAAATTTAATGCCTCGGAAGCCCTCTATAGCTATGAGTCAAAACCGACTGGATGGCACTTAACAACACATTTCTTTATCCAGACTTGCCTAATAAAAGAGAATTATACTCAAACTTAAAATAAAGACTGCTACCAAGCCTTAAACATTCTAAAGTTTCTAAAGGGAAGCTCATACACTTCGACTCTGGACACACATTTAGCAGGTACCTGACAAGGCATTGGCTTCACACCACTCTCAGCATCCTCTCTTACTGAATGGTCTGATAGTTTCTGCAAGTATTCACTCACTGCCTGGGTATCAGGGTAGGTTGGCATATTTCTGGCAGAAGAAACTTCAGCTGTTCCCAAAATGTCTTGTTGGGAGGAACTGGCGTCGTCTCTCGTGGTCTGAACATTTCCAACATTCAGTTCTGTAGCAACAGGCAGGTCAGTTTCTACTTGAGTGTTCTCAAACACTTCTCCCTGACTGCCGAGCGCTCCAAGAGTGGAGGGGGGGCTGGCCTGGTTTTCTGCCTGGGATTCCGACAGTGTCACACCTAGTGGGCAACAGTGACTGTCTGATATAATCACATGGTCTTCCTTGTCAGTCATAGTGATTAAGAGTTGGCTGCACTGGTTGCATCTTTCTGGGACTGACTTCAAATCCTGGGAAGGGAGGCATTGTACAAGGGCTACACTGTGGAACGCACCACAGGCCACTTGGAGCACTACTCGTCCAGCAAGATGTTCGACTTTCTGTGGCTTTGTTACTGGGAAGGTAGTGGTAATGAGCCCCAGTTGACAACCAGTACCCCATGCCCAAATCTCTCTGCTGATTGACAATGCCAGGGTGTGCTCCTCACCACATGCCAACTGCAAAATCCTGACTGCCAACAAAGGACTGGTCTCAAAATCAGAAATGCTGACAGGATTCGGCTCTGCAACGTACTGCTGGTTAGCTACTGCACACTGGCCAGCAGAATTCTCCCCCCACATGTACACTGTACCACTTTCTGTCACTGCTCCACTGTGGAAACTCCCAGTTGCCACAGTAACGACATATTGCCCAATCAGGGCATTTTCTAGAAGGGGGTTACTTGGACAAATCTCTGCTGGTTCATGTCTCCAGGGAAGAGTCCCAAAGCTGTACACCTCACCATCTGAAAGGTTTAAAAAAAAAAAAACAAACACAAAAAAGAGGGGTTTAGTGAATTAGAATTTTTATCAGTAAACTTACAGTCCAATTTCAATTTAACGTAATAGAATTTTTTTTAATTTTCAAAAGCACAGTTGTTGGGATTTGGTCCAAGTCCATAATACTTCATTCATCTTTTAACAAAGAATAAGGAGCTTTGGGGTGCTGTGAGTTAGGCATTTGGTTGCTAACTAAATGGTGTGTGGTCCAAACCTACCAGCTACTCCATGGGAGGCAGATGAAGCTGAGGTTGCCTACTCTGATAAAGATTTCAGTCTTGGAAACCCTAAGAAGCAGTAATCCTCTGTCCTCTAGGGTTGCTATGAGTCAGAATTGGCTTAGGCAGTGGGTTTGGTTTGGTTTGAACAAATAGGTGTTAGCATCCTGAACTATATATTATATAGCGCAGATTTCTAGAAATTGGCAGTAATGTACTTTCAAAAGAAGTGCACTGCTCCTTTCCTTCAGTCTCATTTTACTTTCTAGCACTGATTCACTAATGGCTTTTTACTTAATTTTGTTGTTGTTGACAATACACACAGCAAAACATACACCAATTCAACAGTTTCTACAGGTACGATTCAATGGCACTGATGGCATTCTTCCGGTTGTGAAGCCATTCTCACCCTCCTTGTCTGAGGTGTTCTTCTCCCAGTAACATACACTCACTGCCCCCCAAGATTTCTATCTATCTTTTGAATTGCTGTTGTCACTTTGATCCCACACAGATAGTTCCTAAAAGAGTGTAATAGTCAAGGCCGGCCTTTTTGTGTGAGGTAAGCTAGTTTACTTGTTCAGTTTTAAGAAATCCTCAGGGGATAATTGTCATAGGCTATTACAGAAGTCAATTCTAACTGCTCAAAGACAAAATAATGATGTTAAAATAAGCAGACGATAACAGCACATTCTCTAATAGCTACAACATTTCCTGCTATTGTAACAAGTCAGAGCAGCAGACAACCATGCAATGGCTTAAAAATGTTAAGACACTCATTCTGTCCCAAATAAGAAATTAGTTTCATGTTTGTACAGAAAATTCCAGTGTTAGTAACATGTGCTGTCTTCATGTTTTATACCATATGTAAGGCGACTTCAGAAAGTTTGTGGAAAAATTCCATTATCTTTTAATACCATTTTCCCACAAACTTTTTCAGGCCCCCTCATAGTATTTTTGAACACTACAGGTTTTAATCTTGTGTGCAAGTATAACATTTCTGAGGTGAGATTTGTTTCAAAAGCAGATCATCACAACAAAATAAACTAAGCAAAAAAGCAAATGAAGCTGTCAGAGAGGAACAACTAGTGTTAGAAGTAAAGGAACAGATGTCAGTGGGTTAAGTACACCAGCAAACTGTTTACAGACACAAATTCAGTGGGCAGCGGGGTTGAATGATGAGTGCCTACTTGTGACCAGGTGTGCTGCCAACTCTAATTTCACTGCAGCGTTGCAGGAGTTCAGCCCCACATGCACTTGATCTATGGTGGCTATAAAGCTCCAAAGAAATGCATCATTATTCAGAGACATTTAGTGAACAAAAACAATAGCAAAAGAGTCTCTACGTGAGTAAACTTTATGTTAAATTTTCAGGTACTTATTACTATAAAATTTAAGACTTTAATTCTCCCTTCAATTCTAGTCATAGTACATCTTAAAGAAGGAATCGAATTTCTGATATCAGGAGTAAGAGCATATGTTGAAAGTAAAAGGAACGTAAGTAAATTCTAGCAAAGTTCATTAAAGCCTCTGGTGTCCAGTAACTATCTTATTCGATCTTACACACTCCTCAGCATTTCTTAAGAGTTTCATGAATTCTTGTTAAGCCATTCTTTTCCATACCTTCAGTTAGAAGAATGCCATGTTTCACTCCAAGGGCTGCTTGAAGAACAGTCTTTCCTCCCCAGCCTAACAACCTCTCTGGTGTCACAGAACAGGACCCTGCCTGCCAGACATGGACCCGACCTCTCTCTTTGGATCCTTCTGCCTCTGTTGAGCTACAAATATCAAGAAAAAAAGCATAACTGTTTCTGCAATTAAGGACCATATCTGTTGTTCTTAATACTTTCATGAGATGTATCTTTAACCAGCACATGTGTCTTTAACAGAGAGATGTGTCTTTAAACCAGGTTTAAAGATGTGTCTTTAACCATCCATTTACCATGGGTGAATGGATCAGACAGTTTAATAGAACCTATATTATGCTGTAGTTGTTGAATAGGAACTGAGATGAAATAACTGTTTATAAAATGCTTAAGGATACTCTAAACCTCAAAATTACTTATCGCTAGCTAACAAGCAAATAAAACCTGAGCATAAAATTCCAAGATTCTAACTTGTCAATACATTAACCCCTTGTTTAGAAATTCAAGTTATAACATGCTTCAAGTTGTAATTATATTTTAAACTCTTAATTTATGATCAATAAAACTTATGAGAAAGATATAAGAAATGGGGATCCATATATTACTCTTAACTGAGTTTATTTTGCTCGATAATTGCTACTTGAAAATTTAAGAATCAGATTTCTAACAGGTACTAACAAAATCCTTCATGCTTTACTCATGTTTTAGTTCAAGAAATTCACCCATTTGATGACTTTTGGTTCAAGGAACACAAACTACACAGGCATAAGAAAAGGTTTCTTACTATAAAAGTTTTTCTGTGTAACCCATTTTCTCTTTTCTAGATCACAATTATTTTAATGAGGCACAAAAATGGTGTGATTTTGTTTTATTTTATAATACCTAGGAATTTCCCTAATCTAGCCAAATAATATTCCTTTAAGCTATAACCAGGCAGAGTCACGATTTTCTGGATGAGAAGCTGAAAACATAATGCTCCTGTGAAATAGCTTCCATAACTAGTTTTCTAAGGGTGGTGGTGGTGGTTTTTGTTAAGTGCCGTCGAGTTGATTCCAACCCATAGTGACCCTGTATAGGGTGGGTTTCCAAAGATCAGCTGGTGAGCTTGAACCACCGACCTTGCAGTTCAAACGACTTTGAAGTCTGATGCATTAGCCCATGGCGCCACACCAGGACAATGATAATAATTAGGCTATTATTGAATTTTTTAAATTAATCATAGAAATAATGCTACACGAGCTTTAAAATGATAAAATGAAGACATTTAGCGCCCATTATAAAACACAGTGGCTCCATGTGATAAGCACTGTACTTCAAACCAGAGTCAGTAGTTAGAGCCCACCAGCCACTTCATGGGAGAAAACCGAGGCTTTGTGCTCCTGAAAAAGATTTAAAGCCTCAGAAACCCTACACAAGGAAAGTTATGAGTCAGAATCGACTTGATGGCACTTAACAACAACAAGAAGCATAAGAAACAGACCTCATGGCACAGCAGTAAAGCACTTGGGTGGTTGCAAGTGAGAGATTAGCTGTTAGAACCCACCAGTCACTCCACTTGCAAAGATGTGGCAGTCCGCTTCTGTAAAGATTGCTACTGTTCTTAAGTACCACTGAGTTGGTTCCACTCATAGCGACGCTGTTTAGGGTTTCTGAGGAGCAGCTGGTGAGCTTGAACCACGGACATTGAGATTCAAACCGACCCTGTAGTCCAGAGCATTAACCTGCAGCACCACACCTTAAAAACCTTGTGAGATAGTTGTACTTTGTCCCATAGGGTCAGAATCAACTCTATGGCATAAGGAACAAACTAGCAACAAAGCTTATCATAAGCCAACTTTAACATCTTTCTCTCTACCAATCAACTATAAATGCCCTTCCTCTCTTAACAACCACTGACAAGAAAATTAAACTGACAGAGCCACACAGATGTGGAATTGTTTGTTGTGTTTTCCTAGAATCTTAAAGGAGGAAGAAACGGCTTTACCTTTTCTTCTTTGAGTCCATCAGTCAGTGGGAGAACTCCATCACCAAATCATTCTCTCTGCAAGTTATACCAAGACCTAAATGATAAACCACAAAGCAAGCACAAGAATGGTGACAGAATACTGTGCTATTTTACCCCTCAGCTTAAAAAAAAAGCAGTCCTCTAACAAATGCACATTCATTGAGCAATAAATATGCAGTGAAACTATTTGAACTATTTCATATGCCTTCTGCCAATGTCAAATATCTAGACTGAGCCTGCCCACTGAGCTTATCAACGGGCCTGTTGACAGGGCGATGCAGTGGATGAGGATGAAAAGACCAAAAATTAATTGTGTTTTAGCAGGCAACAGATTTTTGTTTGTCCTAAACAAGGGAGTTTAATCTAAAATCTCACTGTGTTATGTATACATTACATATAATCAGGTTTACTTTTTAAATGCTCCAGGAACAAATGCAGTCTTAAATGTCCACTGATTGAGAATTTCTAGAATCTCTTTAGTAATGTTCTACATTCATGTAGTTGTAATTCAAAAAATTTTTTAAGTAATGCACAAAAAATGGTATAATCAGAATAATCCTGTTTTCCCCAAAACCAATTACAGTTCAAACTCAAGATGCCTCATAATCCAAAGGGTTGGAAGAAAAAAAGCTTGAATTTCAAAATAACTTTAATAAAGTAAGGGATGGAAAAATAAACAGGATAACAGATGTGGTCAGTGCATTTCACCATAGACACTGACATTTTTAAGGCAGTAAAACTCATGAAAATAAAGACAACGAGGCTAATTTGTCTGAACCATACTCATACAGGTACTAGCACTGAATTGGTGATTTTTCTGCACAAGGCATGACCATGGTGCTCTGGAAACAGCTCATGCCAACAGTACTGTAACACCCATCTGTTTATTCCAGGTTGTGTGAGAATTCTTGCTGGTTTTCCATCTGCGTATTTGGAGGAAAGTGCTTCCTACCTAAATACTTTTTATAGAAAGGTTGTGAATCATTCAAAGTTGCATAAAGGGGCACTATGTAAGCAAATCGTACATCTGAATGCATTTAATAAACATTGCCTCTAAGCTTTGTATAAGATGTTGCTGTTAAGTGTCGTGCAGTCGGTTCCGACCCATAGCGACCCTGTACAGGGTTTCGGAGGCTGTAAATCTTTATGGGAGCAGAAAGCCTCATCTTTCTCCCACAGAACAGCTGGTAGTTTCGAACTGCTGACCTTGCAGTTCGCAGCCCAATTCGTAACCACTACGCTACCAGAACTTCTTGTATAAGATATAATATTTGGCAAAATGTATAGTTTTTTGTGTACAAAGAAATTCTGAAACCAGATCTCACTGTGCTTGTTTCAGAGGTCCAAGTTCCTGCCCCCTGGATTGAAGTGAAGCCAGACCCAGAGAACTCCCCTAGAAGGCTGTGGAGGAAGTACACAAGCACACCTCACTTCACGCAACAGTCACTGTAGATGTAAGTGGAGTTTTGTCTTATTACCTGAGTGAAAAAGAAAAAAAATCTTTCAGTCAAGTAAATTAGGCAGTCAGTAAGATGCCTGGTGGCACTGTGGGCTAGGTATTGGGCTGTTAACCACAAGGTTGGCAGTTCAAATCTATGAGTCACTCCTTGGGAGAAAGATGAGGCTCTTTGCTTCTGCAAAGACTTTCAGTCTTGGAAACACTGTATAGATTCACTCTGAGTCAGAAATGACTCAGTGGCATGAGTCGGAATTGACTCAATGGTAGTTGGTTGGGTTTTTTTGGCCTGAGAGTTAAAAAAAAAAAAAAAAGAATCTTTCAGTAAAGTGACTACATGAATAAGGCAGTCAGTCAACCCTTATTTTCTTTTAGTGTCAGATTACTGAAGACTGGTTCTTTTTTTTACAGTGGATTAAATCTTTATTGTTGTTATTGTTGGGTGCCATCCAGTTGGTAATGACTCATAGCAACCCTATGCACAACAGAATGAAACACTGTCCAGTATTGCATCAAACACACAATCTTTGCTACACTGAGCACATTGCTGATGCCACTGTGCCAATCCAAGCCTCCTTTGTTTATCACCACCACCACCTTTTTTTTTTAATCCAAATGCAATTAAAACTGTTTTAATTTAATTTCTGCATACTGCTCTTGCATTTTTTTTAAAACTTAGTATTTATGTAATTGTCACCTCTCCCCTTCCCATCTCAAGAGGTCCACATCCTAATCCCAGGAACCTGGAAATATATTAGGCTGCCGCCTGCCAGTTGATAAGCTGACCTTAATTAAGAGGCGATGCCTGTCATGGCTATCCAGGTGAGTTCAATGTATCACAAGCTCCTTCAAAAGATAAGAGGAAAGCAGAGAGAGAACAAAAGAGAGAGGCGGATGGAAATGGTCAGAGAAATACACTTCCCTGGTTTTGAAGGTGGAAGAAGGGGGTCTTGAGCCAAGGAATGTGGGCAGTATCTGGAAGCTGGAAAGGACAAGAGATCATTCGCCTCAAGAACCTCTAGAAAAGTATGAAGGCCCTCAGACACCTTGATTTTAGCCCAGTGATACCATAATTTATAGAATTAGAAATAATAAAGTTGTGTTATTGTAAGCAACTACATCTGTGACAATTTGTTATGGCAACAACAGAAAACTGATGTAACGTTGTAGGCATTTATTTTTATATCAATATCAGTTTAAAAAATTTTAATGGTTGTTAGCATATTTGACTTCTTCCAAGAACACTTAGCTGCTTGAAACTCAAATACAAGAAATGCCTGCTAAGTGACTTTACTGATCCTGGGCCAACCTCACTACAGTTGCCACACTTGAGTCCACTGATGCTGCCACTTGGCCAATCCATCTCACTGGGGGTCTTCCTCTTTTTCTCTGACACTTCACCTTACCAAACATGATATCCTTCTTCAGTGACTGGTCCCTCCTGACAATATGTCTGAAGTATGAGAGATGAAGTTTGGCCATCCTGGCCTCCAAGGAGCACTCTGGCTGCACTTCTTCCAACACAGATCTGTTGGTTCTATGGGCAGTCCATGGCACTTTCAATACTCTCCTCCAACACAATAATTCAAAGGCATCAATTCTTCTACGGTCTTCCTTATTTATTATTCAGCTTTTGCATGCATATGAGGTTATTGAAAATACCATGGCTTGGGTTAGGAGCACCTTAGTCCTCAAGCTGACATCTTTGCTTTTCAATACTTTCAAAAGGTCTTGGGCAGCAGATTTGCCTAATGGAATATATCCTTCAATTTCTTGACTGTTGCTTCTGTGTGGTAACAGCTGATCCAAGAAGAATAAAGTCCTTGACAACTTCAATCTTCTCCACTGATAAGAATGTTATTTATTGGTCCAATGGTGAAGATTTTTGTTTTCTTTACATTGAGATGCAATCCATTCTGAAGGCTGTGGTCTTTGAGCTTCAACAGTAAATATTTTAAGTCCTCTTCACTTTCAGCAAGCAAGGTTGTATCATATGCATATCGCAGGTTGCTAATGAGTCTTCGTCCAATCCTGATGCCACGTTTTTCTTCATATAACTCAGCTTCTCGGTAGTATTTACCAACTCCATTTAGTCTAACATTTTTTCTTAATTATGTATCTATATGGAAAATGAAAGTCAACAATAAAAATGTTTTTCTACTTTTTAGTTATTTCATTATTTGACATTTTTAATTCTTACAAAACTAATCATGGACTCCTTTTCAGTGGGGCTCTTTTCTCCCAGATGAGCTTTAAAGTTCTTCCTCGTGTTTGTATTAAGACATCTGAAACCTAAAAGCTTGGTTTGTGGGCAGCTATAGGACTACTGGTATGGCATTGTAGGATCAGTGCTGGATTTCTAGCCACAAGGTCAGCAGTTCAAACCCACCAGCTGCTCCCTGGAAGCCCTTTACAGGGCTGCTATGAGTCAGAACCAACTCGATGGCAATTAACAACAGTCTACAGCTGGAGCCCTAACCCCACCCAAACCTCACATTTTGAGTCTTGACATAAGTACAGATGCCATTTATATTTACTGTTACTTCCCCAATGCTTGCTGACCAGTAACTGACAATGTAACTATGCTGCCAAGCCCTGGAGGGGGGGGCAGCTTGCCTTCAGGAAGAGTATGGTCGAAAGTAGATTTATAATTAGTATGCAGGAAAGTTCCTACACAGAGAACTACAGGGAACTTTGCCTGGGCATGTCTTTCTATACACAAAAAACATACTGATTTACCAGAAATAGCCAATCTTATAGCTTTTTTTTAAGGCGCTCTGGTAGCGTAGTGGTTACGAATTGGGCTGCAAACTGCAAGTAAAGATTTATGGCCTCGGAAACCGTGTACAGGGTCGCTATGAGTCGGAACCGACTCCTCATAACAACAACAACATACAGCCTTTTAAAATCTTTAATTATGTGCATATCCCAATAATGGTCTTGTGACTACTTCTAGAGTTCCACCTGAGACAGCTGATGAATTGACTTGCCAGCAATCATGATGTTGGGATTTCCTTTGCTCTCTATCATATACACCACAACTCCTGGTGTGGCACTGTAAGATCAGCACTGGACTGTGAACCAAAAGATGGGCTGTTCACACCCACCAGCTGCTCCTTGAAAACCCTATACAGGGTCACTATGAATTGGAACCAACTCAACAGCATTTAAAAACAACAACTATCATAAACAAAAGAACAACATGGCTGTGATTCAGTATTGGGGACATGCTGACAGTTTTCCTCATCTGTATTTGTCTTTGTCCTGTTTAATGGATTTTTTCCACAAATCTATGAAGCCCCTTGCTGTTAGAAAATGTGGGGTACTCTTCTGCCTCTCATGCCCTCTTCACAAATCAATGGTATCTCTTTAAATTGAGCAAACTAGACTCTAGCAGCCTTTCTGTCTATCAAATTCTAGGAGATAAGAACAAAGCTATATTCATTTTAAACTATGTCATTCTATATTCTCAATTAGATTTAGGTGGCCTTTTAAAACAAAATACAAACTTTGCTTTTTAGTGAATTGACACCACTTTTAGATCCCACTAGCTACACACCCTCCAGCTACATTTAAAAGCAAAATAGCTATCTGTGCAG